ACTGTAAAATTACGGCCAGTGCTTAAGCTTTCAGCTACCACGACTTATTCTATTTCAGCTAAAGTATAGTCAAGTTATAGTAAATTATATGTATCCCACTACTGGGCACAGGCTTCGGCTCATTTTAGAGAAGTTTATGGAGCAAGTAGTCCAGCGCGCTGTTTCAGCGCGTGTTATCGGACACTACTGTGTCTTGGAAATAATTTGGTTCCTCGCATATTATACAGATTTCGTTTGCACAAGCACATGGTATATTACATACACTTAAAAGTGTACCTAATTGGGAATTTTAATGAAGTCTCGATGTAACCTGAGTTGATCGCGTATTGTGAAATTAGGGTGAGTACTTAGCCCTTTGGCTACCGTGGTTTCTAAAATTACTTATTAAGGACAATTAATTTCTACTATTACAATAACACCGGGACAAAATAGTGTGCTAGATTATCTGACGCTGTAACTTGGCAAGGGACAAAGGGATCTATGATTCTTATTAATAACCTAGTTGTTACTCCCGCGATCACTGTTGAACATTCTAATCCAAATAACCAATTTACCTCGTGTCCTGCTTCCAGCAGTGTATCCACATAAGCACGACCCAAGAGAACATGGCTTCTGACTGGTAACGGTGACACCACTAAAATCTTATAAAAATCACATATAGGCAAAATCATTAACAAAATAAATAAATAAAGATACGTCAATGCGCCCATGTTTAAAAAAATAGATGTTTCCACAGAGTACTTATTATTGGATGTTTCAAAAATATATTGGTTTTAGGTTTTAGTCATATACTTAGAATATACTTTATTATCAAAAGTTTATGGTTTCAGTCAACACTTTTCGAGAGTTAAGTTACTTTTACTTCATAATAGTAAAAAAATATTTTAAAAATTGCAATTATTTTAATAATGTAAGTTTTATATGCTAGTGACAGAAAACAGTTTGCTGTGTTTATTTTTAAATTACTAAAGATTCTTTGCTTATGACTGAAACGTATTGATTATATACTCTTTACTCATGAATTTGAATTCCAAGCTTTGAAATATCAAATATTCTTGTAGAACCAGAAAGCAACACAGGTCGCTGATGTACCGGACTGTAGAATTGCCTAGAGTAATTAGTTCGAATTACTTACATAATAATAATAGATTACAGTATAATAATAATCTATGGCTAACGTCTGTCACTTTTGAGAGCCGTATTTCATAGACTTAAAAAGGATCATGAAACGCTTGATATATTATTCTAATTTATTAATTTTATTGTTGACGGCGCCTTTATGCGAATCGTATAAGATTTTAGTGGTGATGCCTATACCAATAACAAGCCACGCCATCATGGGACATGCCTTCGTCAAGATACTGCTTGAAGCTGGTCACGAGGTATTAGTATTATTCAAAAAATTGACGAAGTTTTATGGTAATAGATTTTTGTAAAAATTTGGAATCGTTTGGCAAGGGAGGGGGAGAGCGGGGGGGGGGAGGAGAGTGTCCCCTATACCCCGACACCACCCCCATGAAAGTTAATACACCGTTCTTGAGAAAAATTAAAAAGAAAATACCATAGATCTAACTTCAAAATGATAATATTTATCTCTCTCCAGCAAGAAGGGGGACGTGAAGGGGGGAATGCGGGTGTCCCCTAACTCAACTGAAAGGATTTCTATATGGACAAGTATTTCTGGGCGGTAAAAAAAAATAACAACGAGGCTACCACAGCCTTCTAACCTAACTCGACTGAGAAAATTTCTGGGTGTAAAGTATATAATAATCATTCATTCATTGTTTGTAAATATAATTTTTATGAGAGTATAGACCACAGAAGAAAATACATACCATAGAAGAATAATAATGCGATACTAGTCTTTGACATGGTCTTACGTTCCTGTCGCACTTATACAAAAATATGTATAGTATCCAGCTTTCACAGTATTATTGCATTCATTTTCCATATTTAACTCATTTTATGTTTATAGTTTTTTTTTTTTCTTGAAAACAGTGCATTACTTGTTAATGCGAGTGGTATTGTTATAATCGGGGGCTAAACCTCTACCAAATACAACACCTTGCTTCTGTTAATTCCTGCAAAACGATTCTAAATCCAACCCAGATTATTTAATAACATAAGTAAATATTATAAATAACATTTATTGAAAGTCATTTTTCTGTTTAATTTACCACTGCTACAGAAATACCTCTGTCCTGAGAAAAACCAACAATAAATACAGTATTGTGCACACTACATCAATTTTAAACATAATATATGTTTATTTTGGCAATAAAAAACATGTATTGGGTACAGAATTAACTACACAAATCATATTAGAAATAACTTGGTAGCGATTTTTTTTCATAGAATAAGGATGACAAACGAGTACACAGTCCACCTGATGGTAAGTTGTTGCGGCTTCTCATAGACATCTACATCTATTCTCAATTAAAAATTAAAATGAAGATGTGTATCATCCGCGAGGAATAAGATGGAATGCCTCATTTCCAGTAAAAAAGGGTCTCCGGTTCTCTACACTCACTGTACGAAACACAGCAGCGTTAAACTTCTATTTTACACTGGTATTCTGTGAGAGCGTAACGTTAAAATCCAATTAAATCACCTCATTCCCAGGGATTATTATCGTCCATATATTTTTTAACTATATTCACTTTCTGACAATAACGAGCACCCAGGAGTAGTGGTAAAAAGTAATTTTTCAGGTCACATACATCACTGGATTACCGTGCAATAATTCTTATAAAAATTTTCGCCAAATCGACATCAGCCGTGATGATAAATTTTCTGGTAAGAATTATTGTAATTTTTTCATACAAGTAAATAATTCTCCCACTGACATAGACTTTTAAACACGTTTAAGAATCAAAAGCAGGCGTGTTGTAAACCCTAAGGTCTAAGATGTAGATATTTTCTAGCGTTTTCTAGCGTTATGGGGGCAGTGTGGGAGAAATTAAATGAATGTCGTAAAAGGCGACTATATAAAACCCTAAAAAGAAGTCTTCAATTCTGCATGGTCACGGTGTCGTTTACGCCAAATGAATAATATTTAGACCTATGACAGGAAGCAGTGTCAAGGATGCTAAACGTCTGGTGCTGCGATTATTAAATTGCTTGCCAAGCGTCGTGATAAAGATTCTCTAGACTGGATAGAAAAGAGCACGTTGTCCTATTCATCGGAAACCGACTGTTTCTGCCGCAGCTTGTGCGGCTCTACCACACAAAGCGGGTTACGATGCCGCAGATCTCAGACTCAATTTCCTCATAGAACAAGTATTTGTAAAGTCCTAAACAATTATTTTGGTTGTAAATATTTGTTAACGTAAAAATTCTTTGTTATAAATTAAGGTGGACAAACGAGCACACATTACACCTGATGGTAAGTGGATGCTGTAGGTCATAGACACCTACATCTATCCTTTATATACTCGTAATATCGAAATTTAGATGCGTGTTCATCACTGAAGACTTGACAGAATGCCCCATTTCCAGTTAAAAGCCTTTTTTGGTTCTCTACACTCATGTTTAGAGTGTAATCTTAATCAGGTGAGCTGTATGCTCGTTTACCCACTCTTCTATAAAAAAAAAAAAACACTTCCCCGTTCAAACTGACCCTTTCGGGCTGCAACCAAACTATAGCTGCAGTATGGCATTACCACGTAAAAATGTGTGTGCAATATGACAAAGTACTAGTGACTAGTACTAGTGACGGCGTAAGAGAATCCACTACCCCAAATCATCCCGTGGGTGTCGTAAGAGTGACAGAGAGAAATAAAACTGGAGATGGCCGATATCATGATATCGGTATATAGTGCGGTTGTGGTATTCAACAACTTACATTCATACAGTTCTGATACAGAAAATAAAATGATATATAAAAACATAATGATAAAAATAAATAATAAAGACCAGACAAAATAATCCGATTGTATGAGTAATGTTTTTTTTTATGGAATAAGGGTGACAGACGAGCACACAGTCCACCTGATGGTAAGTGGTTGCCGAGACCCATAGACATCTATCCTCGTTTGCAAATCAAAATGCAGATGTGTTGTCAGCCGTGAGGACTAAGATAGAATGCCTCTTTTCCAGTAAAATCGGGCTCCGGTTCTTTACACTCACCATACGAAACACAGTAGCGTTAAGTATTAGCGTTAAGCATTAGGTATTCTGTGAGAGCGTGGTCCTTCCCCGGTCGAGCCGACCCATTCGTGCTACAACTATACTATTAATATAGCTGCAGCATGGCTCTACCACGTATAAAGACGTTGAAAAGGGTACTGACTCAACATAATGCTATCGCGCGGTTGCGGTAGCGGTGGTTTTCAGCAACTACTGCGTATATCCACTCTATGCGCTAATCTGTAGAGGAGACCTATATTGAGGAGTGTAATTTCTTGGGCTGTAATGATGATGATGCTACCTTTTATAAAAATACGTATTTCTTTTCCAATGAGGGCTAATAATTTTCTGCTCACCAGATTTCGCTAGTTGACACTGAGGTAAAGTATTTTGTTACACAATGTAATTTCTTTGAGAAGTTGTTTTTAATAAAAGTTTATCAGTTTTTAGAGTATTAAGCATTAGGTATTTTGTGTTTTGTAATTTTTTTATAATAGTTTAAGTTAGTTTAAAATAAAAGTTTATCAGTTTTTAGTTTTTGTAATTATATTATATTAATATACAAAACAATGCTTCAGTGGTTTGCTCTTTAATTTTTTTTGCACATTTTTAACTTCTCTTTAATTTTTCTAGTTTTATAAATATCTGTGGTTTGGTTTAATTATTTTAATGTTATTAATATAAAATATAAGTAATAGTACAGAAAGAAACACTATATTTTACATTTTTCGAACAAATTAACTTCCGCGCTATGAAATCTGTCAAATATTATACTTCACTCTAGTGGCGCCGCCCTGGTGGCAGAAAAAGTCATTGATGTCCTCATTAGGCTACTGCTACTATTAATACAACTAACTTATTTGACAGAAAAAATGATCGATAAACATAGTATACTAAAAGATGGGATAGAATTGAGCAATCCGAAGCACTTGTCGCAGCTAGTAACTAAACTGTTTAGTTTAACACTGCAGCACGCAGACGTAAATATGTTGCTTAAGGATACGACGCAAAGATTTGACTTAGTTATAGCCGAATGGCTGTTTAATGAAGTATACACTGGGTTTGTTTATTTTGTTAAATAACTGTCTGAAATTATTTTTTTAATTGGTTTGTACACTAAAGTATCAACTGACACATTTAGTTATTCCATTCATTACAACCTATAAAAGTCCACTGGTGAACATAGGCCCCCATAGATTGTCTCATAGGGGGATTTCGCCATAGTCAGCAGCGGGTTAGCAGCAGCAGTTTATTTTTATTTTGATATGTTATGAGAAATATGCTGCTGCCCGTCTGTTTTACACATTTAGCAGTACAGTAAAATTAAAGTTTAAAGTTACAGTAAGCCTGTAAGAGACCACAGTTGGACACTCCTATCGCTGGGAGGAGTTGCAACAAGCGTTAAAATTAGCAATTGGATTGACGAGATTCAGAAAGAGAGAGGTAGAAATTGGATTGTATAATTACAAAAAGTGAGGCATTCAATTTAGGAGTGACAGCAAATCTGTAACTTTCTTTATTTGAAGTTCGTTACAGGTGCTCGTGAGCTGCAGGTGGACTATAAGTTCGTTTGTCGTTTCGGTTTCTTCTCAACCAGTGAAGGACCACGCTCTCACGGAATGTCTGCCTAAAATAGCACCACAATGCTGCTGTGTTTGTATGGTGAGTGTAGAGAAATGAATACCCTTCTTTACTGTAAACTAGGCATTACATCTTAATCCTCACGGTGACAACGCATCTGCATTTTAATTCTTAATCGAGAATAGATGTAGATGTTTATGGGCCCCAGTAACCAACTTACAAGTGAACTATGTGCTTGTTGGGCTCCCTCATTTTAATAAAAAGAAACAACAGTCCAGCTTATGTAACGTGGATACTATGGCTTATAGACACTTATATACATTTTCCGTTAAGCAATCAACTCTGAAGACTAAGAATGCCTCGTTACAAGTAACACAGCATCATTAGGCTACTATTTTACGTTGGTATTCCATGAGAGTGTGGCTTAGCCTGGCCAAGCTGACCCATTCGTGATATAACCATAATGAGGCTGCCGAGTGACTCCACCACGTTAAAACGTTGCCACTACACTTTTAATCATTACAGGTTGGTCCAAGCTATAAATATTATTTTTTTGCAACAGGCTAGCAGCATTGTACGATTGCCCATTCATTTGGTTCTCTTCAACAAAACCCCACCCACTGCTTCTGCAGCTAATTGATAAAACTGCAAACTCAATGCTTGTTAAGGGTAAAAGTGACTTACCCCATTTAATGAAAGACAAGTAAGTTTTGTTTTGTTAATTAGGTAGAAGTAATAAATAGATCAAATTATTGAATAAAACTATATTGACGGATTTTATCGTGTTTAATTTACTTATTTTAATTCCCGACGTTTCGGGTGCTTTACAGCAATCCATCGTCACTGGATTGAGGGGGGGGGGGGCTAAGATGTTTGACGTCCCGATGACATAGTTAGCTCGGCTCTACCTTCAATTTTTGAATATAAATTTTTGGTTCGATCTACGCAGAATGAGCTTACAATATTAGGTTAATAGGTTTCAAAACCGAGGTTTTAAAGAATTCTGCAGTCTGGAAGATAAATTGGTGCTGCCATCTGCTTGGGATCCTGCAAGACATCAAGATACTGTAAGCTCATTCTGCGTAAATTGAACCAACAATTAATATTCAAAAACTGAAGGCAGCCGTGCTAACTATGACATCTGGACGTCAAATATCTCAATCCCACCCGTGACCATGGGTTGCCGTAAAGCACCCGAAACGTCGGGTATTAAAATAAGTAAACTAAACGCGACAAATTCCGTAAATATAGTTTTATTCAATATTTAGTATTCGCGTAAATAAAAAAAAAACCATTAGATTAAATTAATTTTAATAAAATCCCCTTTTCCTTCATCGTCATTTTTTACTAGGTGGTAGGGGACTCTCTTTTTGCCTTCGAGTCCGTCTAGTTAGGTATCAGCCTCTTACATATTTGTATAGCACTGTATACAGTGCGTTCACTGCTGTATTCCGGTCTCAGTAGAAAAGTACAGAATAATTTTTATTCAATACTAGCTGTCCTTCGCGACTACGCCCACGTGGAGTTTACTACGATTTCATGGATTTAATTTTTTGCGCGGAACCCTAATACTTTTTCTTAAATAAAAGTACCTTAAGTTACTTCTTATAATATCTGATATCCGCGAGTGATAGCTTCGTCAAAATCAGTCCTGCCGTGTCGGAGATTAGCCGGAACAAACAGACAGACAGACAGACAAAAATTTTATTTTGTTATTCGTATTAGTACCGTATATACTTTTAGTAAAAAGCTGTTATTTTAACAATAAAAACAGACACTTCAGTTTTATTTATTTGTATCTTAGATGTATAAATATAGATGTATAGATCGATTACAAAACGAAAGTCATGTGTGACATCCACGTCACACTCTATACCGGTAGTTGTTGGAAGCACTAAGCTCGAAGTTGTACGAGTAGTTATTTACCTAGGACAAATAGTCCGACTATGTAAGTCCAACTTCGACCGAGAGACCAATCGACGGATTAAAGTCGGCTGGGCAGCGTTCGGGAGATTACGACACATCTTCTTTTCAGGCATACCTCAAAACCTGAAAACAAGATTGTGCAACCAGTGCATGTTGCCAGTGGTCACTGGCACATATGGATCTGATACTTGGTTTTTCACAACTGGTCGTATGAGGAGTCTCAAGGTCACAGCGAGCTGTGCACGAAGTTTCTCAGCGTAATAGACTTACAAACAAGAATATCCGCAATAGAACCAGAGTAACCGACATAGCCAAAGGGATTAGTAAAGTGGCAATGGGCCGGCCATATAGCTCGCAGAACCGAAAACCGATAGGAAAGAAACGTTCTCAACCGGCACTGTACCCGGACCGGACCGGACCGGACTGACCTCGTACCGGCAAGCGAAGTGTGAGGCGTGCCCCTACTAAATGGAGTGACGAACTGGTAAGACATGCAGGAAGTCGATGGATGCAGGTGGCTCAGGACTGTGCTTAGTGACACTACTTGAGGAGAACTAGTTTCAGCAGCGGACTTGTGAAGGGCTGTAATTATGATGATGATGTTGAATTTAGATTAGAAGAATACTCATTGAAAGTCATTTATGCTTTTACCAATAAATTTTTTTCTAGAAGAAGTTCCACAAACGAGCACACAGTACACCTGATGGTAAGTGGAAGCTGTGGCCCATAGACATCTACATTTATCTTCGATTACGAATCAAAATGCAGATGCCGTGTCACCCCTGAGGAAAACACATTAAATGAGGCATTAAGCCACTATTTTACGCTGGTATTCTGTGAGAGCGTGGTACCCCGGTCGAGCCAACCCATTCGTGCTACAAACATAATATAGCTGCAGTATGGCTCTACCACGTAAAAAGGTTCTTGGTCTTCGCTTCATCTGGTTGGGGGCCGTCCTATCTTCCTCATCAGTTTTTTGGTTCATCGAGCTATATGGCTGGCCAATTGCCACTTGTTAACTGAGCCTTTGGACTACTTGTAGTTCAAAGGCTCAGTTACTCTGGTTCTACTGCGGACATAATAGTTACGAATTATTTCACGCTGACCGACCTTGAAAGCTTCCTTATATGGACAGCGGTGAAGAACCATGTCTCAGTTTCATAAGCCAACAAATTAACTTCTTAGGTCTCATTTTACTGCACTAGTAAATAAATTTTGTGTATAAAGGTATGTATACAATTTGGAAAAGGAGGCTTTTATAAACATATTTGAGCCGTTGATGGCGTTAAGGAAAAAATCTTTGCGATCCTATGATGAGTCAAGATATATTGCTTCCCTCGCTTTGGTTAATTCACACGCATCACTCGATCTGGATACAAATTGGCCTCAGAACCTCAAACTTATAGCCGGATTTCACATTGACCAGGACACGGAACCATTGCCGAAGGTAAATAATACATAAACGATTTTAGTTAGTAGTAGTCATTAGCTAGATATATATATATATATATATATATATATATATATATATATATATATATATATGTATATGTATATATATGAAACTATATTAACTCCTGTAATCATCGCTCTTGCTTCTTATATTAAAGTTGGCTAAATGCTGAAACCCAACAGGTAAGCTCTTACCGAACAAAAATCAACAAAATGTAACTCAACCGTAATGTTGAAGGCACTTATCACTGTCTCGCATTTAATATTTAATGTGGAAACCCTGTTAGTATCCACTTGTATCTACTCCGCATTTCAAAATCATAGATACTATATTGTGAAGGTTGTGTTTTGTTTATAAATATATAATAAAGTGAACCTACGTGAACGTTTAGGAGTGAAGAAATTGACTAAAACGAGGTACATACTCATAAATCAGTTGAAAGTTAGTGTTATACAGCGTAGTAAAGAATTTGGTAGAAAAGAAAAAAGACTGGGGTTTATTATATCAACAATAGAGCAGAATTTAAATTTCAAAAAGAAGGCGACAACTATTTTCCTTTTACACGTTTTATAAGTATTAGTAAGATCTGTGTGTGTATCTACGTATGAATATAATCAAAATTTGTATTTTAATCTGAAACTTTGTAGACTTAAGAACTGAACCGATGGTAATACGATAATTTCATGACTTTATTTTAGTATTCTAAATAGGATTATCAAAGCGTATCGAATCTGGAACAGAAAGAAGAACAGAAACCTTTTTATTCAATGTATATTATAAATAATATTTATTGAAAGTCACTATTATGTTTTATTACCACTGGTTCGAAAAAAAACCTCTGTCCTGGGAAGAACCAGCAATAAACCCAGTGGGATTTAAAAAAAAAAATATCAGCTTATAATCATGTTTGTTACACAATTAACCACACAAAACAAATTAGAAATAGCTTGGTAGCTATCACCTCATTCCCAGGGTTTATTATCATTCATAAATTCCTTAATATTATAATAACCATTTTTATACAAACTTAGTTTAATTAAGTTTTTGAACTTTGAGCATGTCAAATTTTGTATGTTTTTTGGGATTTCGATGTAAAAGCATGCCCGAGAATGAGTTATTGACTCGGTAGAGTCAAGAAACTGGTACAACTAACTTGTGTCTCTTCGTAGTATTTGCATTATGAATTTCACTTATTTTTGTATAACTACTTTTATTTTTGTGTACGTACATTACATTTTCATAAATGTATTATGGCCCTCTTATGTAAAACAAATATAATTTCAATGTCAATCGCGTGTCGCCATATCTAAATACCATACGACATTATGCTATGGAAATAGATAAAGTAAACAAGTCTAGCTGTTTCAACACTGGTAAAATCTTTTTTACAGTATATGCTGCAGAACTAAGTCTGCTTGCTAATTTTGATATATGGGGCTCCATTGAAGCTTCGCGTTTATTTTTATTCCAAGAAAAATGGTGATATCCACAAGACTCAGTTCCTCCCTATTTAAAATTACATTAGTATTTAAATGTTTGACATTTGGTGTCATGCATTTTTTATATATTTTGTATAAGTGCATTTTAAATGTAAATTATTAACATTAAACCAATGTTTTATTTATATATAGCATTATTTACTTCGTCATATTTTAGTAATTGTCATCATGATTATCATGATCCAAGCGTTTGGTAATTTTTTAAATCTACTATCATTATTTTAATGGTGTAATATTAGTTTGTTGAATTTATATGTATGTTATCTGTGTACTGTGTATAGATGTCGTCGTTATTTAGACAAATCGGTTTTGATAAGCAGTTAAAAGACCTTGTAGTATTATAAAACCACTGTTTGCGTTGTACTGACTTTTAAAACATTAAACAGTCTAGATCAGACGTACCATTGCGGACATCCATTTTATCAAAGATATTAAAAATAAAAAAGCTTTGAAGAGACTCTCCCGCCCTCCCTCAATTGCGTGCATTAACCTCTTCACCCCTAATACCAACACCACTACTCCCAACATACACGCTACATACGAAAAATTGATAACTTTTTATTCCGCAGACATTTTATGGAGGGTTCCACATATTTCTAAAGTGTGGTACGAATGGGTTGACTCAACCGGAGTCGACTCTATTACAGATACCAGCGTAAAATAGCAACTTAATTCTGCTGTGTTTCGTATGGTGAGTGTAGAGAACCGGAAACCCTTTTTACTGGAAACGAGGCATTTCATTTTTGTCCTCAGAGGTGACAACGCATCTGCAATTTTGAATCTTAATCGAGGATAAATGTAGATTTCTATGGGCCTCAGTATTCACTTACCATCAGGTGGACTGTGTGCTCGTATGTTACCCTTATTCTATAAAAAAAAAAACAATATTTTTATACGTAAGTGTTTTGAACGCTACAAGCTACGTACGAACAATTGTCACAACTTTTTATATTGTAGACATTTTATGGAGATTTACCAAATATTTTTATACAATAATGTTTTTAAACTAATAAAAATAAAGTATACTAACTAAGAAAGTATATAAAATTAATTGCAGGATATCAAAAGCATAATGGATAATGCAAGACATGGAGTTATATACTTCAGCATGGGATCGTATATGGAAAGTAATGATATACCAGAAGTATCAAGTCAGAAACTTATAGATATGTTTAGTCAATTAAAACAAATAGTTATTTGGAAATTAGAACTAAGTTATTATAAGTTACCAAGGAACATTCATATATTAAAATGGGCCCCCCAACAAAGTATTTTAGGTAAGTTAATCATATCTATTATGTGGAAAGTGACGTAAAAATGCATCGACATTTCTTCGTAATTTCTGATTTAACACTAATAATAAAAATACTAGGAACTTAATAATATGTTGAAGTACCTAAGAGGTAGTGAGAACGAGTCCGTATAGTCTTAGCTTCAACTTTAATAATAAAATTTAATTTCAAATGCAGGGTCGGATTAGGCAAGAAGAGATCTCATTTTTTAAAAAGAATAAGTGTGACCAACAAACTCTCAGTCCACCTGATGGTAAGTGGATGTTGTGGCCCATAGACATCTACATTTAATTTCGATTAAGAATCAAAATGCAGATGCCGTGTCACCCCTGAGGAAAAGAGTCTCCGGTTCTCTACACTATAACTACTAAAGACAGCAGCATTGAGCTGCTATTTTACGCTGGTATTCAGTGAGAGCGTGGTCCTTCTCCGGTCTAGCCGACCATTTCGTGCTACTACTATAATATAGTTGCAACATGGCTGTACCATATATGAAATCATCACTACAACATTACCCAATGCTACAATCTGAGTTAGGGTGTTGTATCTGAGTGCGTTATGATTACCCATGCCCCTAATGTATCCATACGTATGTTCATACGATCTTTTGTTATAAAACGAAAGTAACAAACAAACCAACAGTTCACCTAATGGTAAGTGACTACTGCAGTCCATGGACATCTGCAGCCAAATTCATACTGAGAAAGCAATAGATGCGTTGTCACTTCTGAGGACTAAGATTGAATGCCTCACAGCATATATGTAATTCTATTGACTCTTTATACCCTTTGAACCATAAGCAAGCACTGCTATTTTCTGGTGGCGGCAAACACAGGTAAGAGAGTGGTACCTACCCAGACGGACTCCTAGGCTGAAAAGTAATACTACCACCTGTAATCTTATCGTAAATACGATTTTTCATTTTTTTCATTTCTTACCTCCTGTCTTATTTTCTTGCTCTGTCTCTCTCTATCTCTCTCTCTCTCTCTTTTTTCTCCAATGCCTTATGACACGAAATAAAATATATTTATTTCTTCGATGTTAAAATTGAAAATTTCCTTTTTTTTATTCAGTAGAGCCTAATAAAGTTCACTGCTAGGCATATTTGTCGTAGTTGCCATAGCTTTTTTTTTATCTTCTAGTTGTTACCAGGAAGACGCTGCTGTCCATCTCCTGGTTTATTTCCATCTTAGTCCTCTTGGGTGACAACGCATCTGCATTTTAATTCATATTCCAAGATAGATGTAGATGTCTATACTTATAATCATCCACCTACCATGAGATGGACTGTGTGCTCGCTTGTCACCCTTATTCTATATAAAAAGGTATACTAACCACTAAGCTAGTCTGAGGCGGTGAACTGCAACTTTTTTCTCAGCCCATAAACTGCACTGATAAACACGATCCTCTCCCATTGTAGCGAAGGCTATTTTTATGAAATTTTGTGACCGGATATCGAAATCTTCAATAAATTTTTTTTCAGCGCATCCAAATTGTATCCTTTTCATTACACACGGAGGTCTACTTTCATTGACTGAATCGGTACACTTCGGTGTTCCGGTAATCGGGATACCTGTATTTGGAGACCAGTTCATTAATGTTGCGAGAGCTGTTGAAAAAGGTTTTGCGAAGAAAGTTAATCTATATTCTTCGATAGCAAAAGAAATTAATGAGGCCATTAAGGAAATGCTAAGCAACCCAAGGTTATTTGAAGTATTCGTAAAAATAATTTTCTCATGTTTTTATAAAGGGCTGACAAACTAGTACAGAGCCCCTTTGATGGTAAATGAATATTGTAATTTATAGAAACCTATATCGATCCTCGGTTATCACTTCTGTTTTGGTGACCAAAAGATGGAACAAGTGAATATCGCCTTGGCTTTAACTTGACTGAATGCGTTTTGTCAACACAACACAAAGATAAACAAAAGTCGCCCGTACTCACAAGTACTTCCTGATGGTAGCGTATCGGAAATCCATTGCTCCATTTCGTTCCGTGGGTATCGACTATGCAAAGAGGCTACTATGGGAAGTGCCAGAAAAACCTTATGGCTTCCGATTGACGGCGGCATAACCGTTTACTCCAGGTTTAAAACACCTACAGTGGCGGTTGGGGAACAGCTTCAGGGAACAGCTTCAAAGTGGGGAAGTCTGATACTGTGATCGACAATCCGCCTGTCAAGTATGACTTTAAGGCAAGTCTTTATTATAACGGTAACGGCTCATGCACAGTTGTGAACTTGTACTTGATGATAAAGAAGAAGCCTTACCATGCTGGTCAGGCGGCTTTGTAATACTTCTGACCAATCACCAGTAAAAAACGTTGGACCTAAATCATATTAGTTTCAAAATTGTTGGAAGATTTTCCTTAGAATCGCATCGGTCTTCAGAGCTGCATCCTTCAGTTAACAGGGGAGTACTCTTATGGTTGAGATTAATGTTCGGAAAAAATTTTAACTTTTAATAAAGCTACAGAAGTCAGTCATAAGCTCATAAGACACAGTATATTGAAGATTAAGTGTGCCGACTTCAGAAGCTGTTACGTTGAAATTATATTATTATTTGAAATTCATAGAAGTCTGTTTTAACTTTTATGAAAAATACCAATCACTCTTAACTTTTTTTATTTTTTAACAGTTATCGCAAGAGAGTGCAAGAGCTGTCTGCAATTTATAACGATCGTCTCATGCTACCAAGTGTAGAGCTAGTACACTGGGTAAATCACGCAGTTCATACTGGAAAGTCTTTCTGACTTCAGTCTCCTACAATTGATGTACACTAAAGCAAGATTCTTCTGTAATGTATTCTGATTTCAGAAAAAAAATATAAGGTTATCTGTGTTTGTTTCATTTAAGACTTCATAGAAGCGGTAAACGCAACAGGAATTTACAAGAACAAAACGTTAAATTGTCTATTTTTTTTAATTACGAGTATAAGCGAGTGCTGGTCAACAATACCATCTGGTTATAAGTAGTGATTAAGCCCTATATGGTTTCTCAACTCATTACAAATTGCGGCCCGCTAATTAATTTTGCTGATAGATAATGAAAAAGTCGCCACGTCATTTTGCCTGTTCGATCTTGCACTTGGCAACAGCAACGAGCCTTGTAGCCCAAAACATTGTGCTTGCAGCGATAAGTAATAATGACTGTCGTGGAGCTATTGCGAGACGTTTTCATATTTATCAACATTTGCCGGACAATCTATAACATATATGTAGTCTTACATACCTACATAAAACTGGCCATATTACATCACTCATGTCTGAGAAATAAGAATAAAAAAATATAAAAATCTTCTGTTTGTCTATACGCGTTATGGTAATTTTTTTAAGGGATTAGTGATGTTGATGACAACTTAAAATTTAATAGGTATTTAATTTAAAAATATTTTTTATGTAAAAGATTCTCGGTTTTAAATATAAAAATGAAATAAAGGGCAACTATATAATATAATTTTTGGTCACAAAAAATCGACTGAAAATTCCGCCCTTTGTATTCTTTTGTTTAAATTTAATTTAAAAATAAATATTTAATGTGGAATCTTTAAAGTAAATTATATTTACGTGAATTCTACACATATCAACCTTTTTGTAGTTTTTTAGATACATTATTTTCGAAATCGCAGTATTGTTGGAGTCATCCACGTGCTTGGTCCTATCTTTTTTTTTAACATGAATGTACACTTTTAAGTATAAAGAAAAGAAATGGATTTATTTTAATGGATTAGATTTTATCATAATTTTTAAAGATTACAAGTGTGAGATGGTTAGTGGATGCTGTGGTCCATAGACATCTAAATCTATCCCCAGTTAATAATCAAAATGCAGATGCATTTTCACCTCTGAAGATTAAGATATAATGCCTTGTATCCAGTAAAAAGGGTCTACTAAATACTAAATTAAAGAATAAGCAAAATAAAAGAGAAACATATATTATTTATTAGCGACCCGCCCTGTCTTCGCCTGTATGATTTAATTAAAAAAAAGATCTTCAAGTTTTTTGGACATTGTTCTTTATTTGTTTCTAAAGTTTTATCATTTCATTTCATAAATTCTGCGCGTGTCGTGGTCTCGCTACCGCAGCGAGCGCGATTATAATTATTTTTTCTCCATACTAATTTGAACACACTTTGACCCCTCCCTAATTGGTTGTTTTGAAAAACCGCAAAATTCTAATTCATATATTTTGTCTAAGTCGTAGAATGAGTAATATAATCCTTTTATCATCAGAACATATATCTTGTCTAATAATATTTGCAAAATAAGCATTACTTGCATTTCTGCCGAGTATAAATGTATTGGCGTGTCCGAATTGTTTAGATAATGTATTTTTATTTTATTTAGCTAGTTTTTTGTGGATCGTACGATAATTAACACGCGTCACGCGTGTTTTTTTATTTGTCTGTGATATTGAAACTGAGATTTATTTATCTTTTCTTTTTTTCTTTCTTTCTTTCTTTCTTTCTTCAGTTGCTATGCAGTGATTTTCGCGTATAGACAAATTACTTTTATTATAGAAGTTAACGTTTATTTTTTTCTGTATCCGAATATCTTATATAAACTTACTGTACAGGTTTTATATCCTATATACGAGAATTTACTGAGCTGAGAGATTTGAGAGGTAATTACACAAATTCTAAACCACTTACATATTATGTTTTTTTATTTGTCTGTGATATTGAAACTGAAATTTATTTGTAAGTTGCCATGTAGTGATTTTCGCGTATCGACAAATTATTATTATTATAGAAGTTAACGTTTATTTTTTTCTGTATCCGAATATGTTATACATACTAAAAGTTTTATATCATATATTATTTACTTAATATTTACTGAGGTTATGGAGATGGGCTGAGTGATGATTTTTCTGTATCAATAACTGCATCACAGATTACTATACCAGTCCTGAATGAAAATGACAAAAAAATATCGATGACGGAAACAATGACAAATTCATCAATTTAAAATATCGATGATTTTAACATGTGACATGATATCGGACTCATCTCTATCAACGACGCTATTCATGTGTCTGTACAATTTTAGTCGATGATGAAACAAAAACCTTAGAGTCAAAAACTTGCGCTACAGATACTGTATAAGCCACTCTAATGTCAAAATCAAATGGAAAAGTTTTGTGATAAAATAAATACTAAGTTATTCCAAACGACACTTATATTTTGCAAGCACAGTATATTGACGCTGTTGATCTTCGCTTATTGAAAGTTTTTAAATAAAATTAATTAAAATAAAATTATATTTCCTGATTATATTCCTAATAGTGACAATATTACGGAATTTTTACGTGGAGAAGCCACGCTTCAATTACGATATCGTACTATATTAAGAATTCAGCACAAATGGATCGACTCAACCGGTGTAGGCTCTTACAGAACACCAATGTGAATCTGCAGAATAATTCCGTGTTTCGTATGTAATATAAAAATATGTAATATTCGATGAGTGTAAAGAACCCTGTTACTCATAACGAGACATTCCATCTTAGTTCTCAGCGGTGACAAAACATCTATACTTTTATAGTTAATCGAGAATCAATGTAGATGCCTATGGGCCGCAGCATATACTTAATTAGGTGTACTGTGTGCTCACTTGTCTTTCTTATTTCTAAAATAAAAATAAATTGTCATTGATTGATTTTTGAATATAGAGTAAGACGTAACATTTATTGTATGGATCTCGATGCCACCCTATCTTAAGAAACAAAATATACACCCTGATAGTAAAAAGGGCCTTGGTTTTATACAGCATCACTTTAAATTTTCTAAATGTTCTCAAACTTCAAATGAAGACAAAGGTCTTTTTGTACGAGTATTCATCACTTATCGTCATCATTACAGCCCATCTCAAGTCCACTGCTGACCATGGGCTGCAATTGTCTCATAGATTGCTACACAATACGATTTCATCATGTCGGTCTTTCATCTAGTGTGGGAGTGGGGGAGGTATGAAACTAGCAAAACAATTAACACAATATAAAAACGCACGCTTTTTATATTGTTTATTCAACTGAAGTGACAAATGAACTTGCAGTCCAACTGACAGTAAGTAGCCGCATCAGGCCACGGTCACATGCAGCCTACTTCAACCAAAGAAGGCCACATTTGCGTTGTCACCTCTGAGTACTGTGATGGAATATCTCTCAGCTTTTATTACGCGGTAGAGCCATGCTGCAGCTATATTAATAGTATAGTTGTAGCACTAATGAGTCAGCTCGACCGGGGAAGGACCACGCTCTCACAGAATACCGGCGAAAATAGCAGCTTAACACTGCTGTGTTTCGTATGGTGAGTGTAGAGAACCGGAGACCCTTTTTTACTGCAAAAGAGGTATTCCATCTTAGTCCTCACGGGTGACAACGCATCTGCATTTTGAATCTTTATTGAGGATAGATGTGGATGTCTGTGGGTCACAGCAAGCACTTACCATCAGGTGGACTGTGTGCTCGTTTGTCACCCTATCCTGTAAAAAAGCTTGTAATTTATTCTATACCGTTCAAACCAAAAAAACAGTAGCGCTTGCAGCATTACTATTTGGCGTCAAAATATGAACGGGTATGGTACCTATCTAGACTGATTTCTAGGCATAAAAATGCTCCTAGCGCCTAGGCCAAAAATCAATGTGTGTAGTCTTTGAATATTGTGATGGAATGTCTCACAGACTGTAGTTATACTGGCTATATACTATTCAGATCGGAACATAGTAGTACGATGACGGCTCCGTGGCGCAGTGGCTTACCAATGAGTTGCTGCGCTGGGGGCCGCGGGTTCGAATCCCGCACGGAACAAGTATTTGTATGGCCTGCACATAATTGTTCCGGGTCTGGATGTTTGTCCTTGTGCAATTTATGTTTGTAGTCTGCCTCCACGATACAAGAGAAAATCCTAGTTTGGGGGTAACGTTTTATTTATAATAAAAAAAAAGGAAGGCATCCACGACTTTTTCTGCCACCAGGGCGACGCCACTTTACAGTGAGGTAAATCATTTGACATATTTTATAGCGGGGAAGATAATTTCTTAGGAAAATGTAAAGGTTAATTTTTCTTTCTGTATTATTAGTTATATTTTATATTAATTAGATTAAAAATAAATAAACTAAACTATAAATATAACTAAATCTAAATAAAAAAGAGGCATAAAGTACAAAAAATTAAAGGTCAAACCACTTACGCATTGTGTTGTGTATTAATATAACACACTAGAAACTTATAAACTATTATATAAAACTAATTTCTCAATTAAGTGACATTGTGTAAGAGAAAACTTTACCTCAGTCACAACTAGCGACATCTGGTGAGTGGAAGATTAGTAGGCCTCATTTAGAGACAGAAACAGATAGGATTGCGGTCCATTAATTAGCTATCCAGACGCACTCTTAAGCGGAAAAGGAGTCCTACCATCTAGCAAATTATATTCGCCATTTGTCATAAATAATGTTATAACGTATTTTGTTTCAGAAAATGAAATTCCCGTTAGGAATATGTCTAGTAATTTTAACAGTTGCGGTGACATTTAGTGAAGCGTACAAAATTTTGGTGGTATCACCTTTCCCAGGTAGAAGCCACACTATTATTAGTGATGCTTATGTCAATTTATTGCTTGATGCTGGCCATGAGGTAAGTATTCATCTAAATTTAACTACCTTTTGTAATTGTTGGTTCCTAGATAATGAGGAATTACTGTTCCTTTTACCATGGTTTGCCACCGCAGTTGTTTATTGTTAGTTGTTATTAGGAAGAGGCTGCCGCCCATCTCCTGGTTTGTCTCCTTCTGTCGTCTGTTCCGACACACACGGTATTATATGGAGGAGTGGGGAAGCGAACTTCGAACCTGTCATGAAGTGCATTTTAAACGACTATGAAATAGTAGCCGCGCCGGACAATACTTTCCAAATACTCTATACAATAAATTACAATCATATTCTCCAGACCGAATTTCGATCACGGCCGCTAGCTTCAACGGAGATTAGCCATCTGCGCAGGACAGGATTATAGTGCCCAAGGGTAAGAGCAAGCACAGGTGCACACACTATTCCATCACTCTTATTATTCGATGGGACAGTAAAGCAACACGGCCCGAGAGAGACCAGGCGCAGGACCAACGGTTTTACGTGCTTTCCGAGGCACGGAGGTGAAACACCGCCAACTTTCTTACTCTGGGTTGCTAATGAGAATATTTTGGAATGAGAAACTCAACAACAGATTTTTTATTAACAGACCTCATGAGCAGCAGTCGCGTTTACAGGTACTAGACCAACGCAGGCAGTCATATATATAACGATGGTGTCAAACTGGCTCACAGACTACCTGATGATAAGTGTCTACTGCAATTTACAAACCATGGACACCTGTAGCAACGTCAAACGAAAAGTACCATAAATGCGTTGTCTTCGATGAGGTCTTAGTTGAAATGCCTCACACCTGTGCCTAACCGACGGAGTCTTAGGAGTTCATTATCACCATTACATCCCTTCACAAGTTCACTGTTGAATAAAGGCGTCACACGAAAGATTTCCCACCTTCTAAATTAAGATTAAACTGTGAAATTCGGGAATTTAAGTAGGCGCCGAAACAACGATATCTTAGCGTTTATAAATTTTGGTTATTTAACTGAATAAAATTAGTAGTAAATTAGTAACAAATGAATAAAATGGTACTTGAATTTAATTTTCAGGTAACATATATCAATGCTTACCCAAGTAATAACTCTAATCCATTGCTTCATGTAATTGATGTCAGTGAAACTAAGAAGTATTATAATTGTAAGTATATATGAAATATTTTTGAAACATGTACACAGCACAAAATTCTCTTTTTTTTATATAGAGAGTGAGCTTTAGATCGTAATCAAATATTTATTTTCAACAAAGACATTAACCAGTAACTTGTTGTGGATTTAGTTTTTGAAACTGTTACTCGTAGAACGGAAATAGAAGTTGAATGACTTAATTCCACCCATTCCTTTTTTGACGTACTATGCATTCGAAACAAACAGTTTTCTTTGTCGTTAGTTAGGTATTGTACGCATTATCTAATAACGACAAAGAAAACCGTTTGGTATTCTTTATCCGGTCACGGCGGCTAGCCTCAACGACCCCAACTAGCCATCTGCGCAGACAGGATTATAGTACACAAGTGTACGCGCAAGCACAGGTGCACTCTCTCTTACATAGTCCAATAGGACTATATTATATAATATATTATATATTGTTTTGCAAGTGTTTAAGGGGTATGGGTATACATACAATTAGGGAATAAATAAAAATATTTAGGTTATAGGAGTTCATAAGCGAACGGGCAAGCACACATATCTATACTACAAATAAATAAAATTGAAGTGTCTCTTTGTAATGTCAAAATTACGGGTTTTTACTAAATGCATATGAAAGTATATACGATACTTATAATAAAAACACAATTTTTAAAATTTTTGTCAGTCTGTCGGTCTGTCTGTCTGTCTGTCTGTTTGTTCCGGTTAATCTCTGAAACGGCTGGACCGATTTTGACGGGACTTTCACTGGCATATAGCTGATGTCATAAGGAGTAACTTAAGCTACTTTTATTTTAGAAAAATAATTAGGGTTCCGCGCAAAAAAACTAAAACTCCAAATAACACGCGGGCGAAGTCGCGGGGAACAGCTAGTAACATATATACACCTGAAAAACATAACCCTTTTTAGGGCATTCATGTAAAACTAGAAGTTAAATTAGCAATTAGAACTGCACATGTGTACTTTCAATATGAAAAATGCTTCCATGGTAATGGAGAGTTTCCTTATGTGGAGCTTAGTTTTTATAGAAGAAAAGGCAGGGAGACAAATACTAAACTGTTTTAAAATTATTTACCTTTTTCTAATTCTAGCTGACTTGGTAGTAATAAAAAGTATATTAAACGATGAAGTTGATGTCAAGGATCCGAGTTATTTTCTTGAAGCCATTTTGAATGTTAGTAAGGCAACGTTAGAGAATCGAGATGTAGCAAAAATAATATCCAACAAAAACTTAAAATTTGACTTGGTAATTGCTGAATGGATGATCAGCGAAGTATACGCTGGGTAAGATAACTATTTTAATATTTCATTATTATTTTACCATCCTCAGAGAATTGATTAACCTCATCTTTGTTGATGGACAATCTGCGGACGATACGGGTGGTATAGAGAAGCACCATCTCCTGCGTTTTTGTTTCTTTGCTGTCTCTGCTTTGTTCATTTGCTGTTTCGGCTTTCACGAAGATCTCGTATTTCAACATAATGATAAAAAAAGTTGGCAAAATACTATTTCGCGTACATCCTTACATCCCTGAGGGAGGGCGGGAGGTGCTCTTCAAACTAGGTAAGACACATCATTTTATTTTATCGAGCGGATATACGCGAAGTAGTATTTTGCCAACTTTAATATAATGGACTTCCGCAAAGTAACGCCTGATTCTATTAATTATTAACATAATGATATAAAAATATTGATACTGTACCTGGTCTCTGTAGTCCCTGTGTCCCTGGAGCAGTCATTTTCGGGCATGGTTTCCGGCAAATACTTATAATAAAGCGGTTTGCGATTCATTAGACTGCACTTTAGAGCCAGTTCAGATAGTTAATCCTGGGAACTAGGTTGTGTTTATGCAGATTAACAAAGTAAACTCAGAGTAACAAAGCGCTGAAAAATTGAAGATAACATGCTTGAGTGATTCACCGGTATAGCGACTAGCTCGACATATGTCGAGGCAGCCATCTCTTAGGATGTATCACCGATAATTGTTAGCTTTAATATCCTGGTCCCGTATTCCACAGACAAAACCTTCGGATTTCTCAATAGGTTACTGCAACTAGTCGAGGGACTGGCTATCAGTGGAGGGTGATAACTCTGTCTACAAAATATTAGTGTTAAGAGCCTGGTAAAACCTTAAGGGTTATCCCTAATGAAATAATCCTAATTAAAATTATTTGACGGCTCCGTGGCGCAGTGGCCGCGGGTTCGAAATCCGAACGGAACAAGTATTTGTATGGCCTAAATAATTATTCCGGGTGTGGATGTTTGTCCTCGTGCAGTTTATGTTTTTAAACTGCCTCCACGACACAAGAGAAAATCCTAGTGTGGGGGTAACGTTTTTAAAAACAAAGATAAAAAAAGGATTATTATCAAGATCATGAAATAAATAAAAACTCCGGTGATTGAATTCAGCTATAGATTTAAAAGCTGAAGATAGTGAACAGTGCATATCTGCAAGAAAATATATCATCGCCGATTTAGTTGCAACAAATCCATTTAAATCGGAGGAAATAAAAAAGAAAGATGCTTTATTCGTAGTTAAGCATTTACTTACCGCAAATACTACTTAATACAGGATCAATTTTTATTTTTGATAAAAAAAATAGAGAAATATACTCATGGACATATTCAGAGGAATGTAAAAAAAGTATGTATAAAACAAAATGTCATGGATATTTATGAAAATGAAGTTAAAATTTAGATTTTGTTTATTATTAGTTAATTTAAAATTGCAAACGTTAAAAACAAATGGTCATATGATATAAAATAAACCAAATTAAGACAAAAACTAAATCAAAAGAAGACAAAGAGAAGAAAAACTTTAAATTTGTCCATGAGTGCACAACTTTAGGCCTCAGTGGAGAGCGTCTGGCGGAGGATGTGACGTAACGGTATGTTTCTTATACATTTAGAGCTGTCAGTGTTCAGGACTCTGAATACGAGAGCGTTTGTTTGTCATGTACGCCGAACACTCCGCCCAGCTCTCCAATGAGTCTTTACCCTTATTTTATAAAACTGAAGTGACAAACGAATCTACTGTCCACCTAATGATAAGTGGTTACTGCAGCTCTTAGGCAACAGCAGCCAATATCAAACAAATAAGGCTACAGGTGCATTGTCACGATAAGTCACGATGACAATAGTTTAATACGAGATAACGTACAGAAAACGTGCCTGATATTTTTTAAAATTGTATTTTAAAATTTATAATTTTTTTTTCAGATTTTCGGCATTATATGATTGCCCATTTGTTTGGTTTACACCAGTGGAACCACATTGGATGATATTTTATTTAACTGATGAAGTTTCAAACCCTGCTTACACAAGTACCCCGATGTCAACTAATATTATCCCATTTACATTTAAACAACGTGTGCAAGAATTGATATTGCAAACATTTTTTTATTTCATAAAGGAATGGTAAGTGACTTTTGAATAAAGTTTTTTTCTTATAGGCTTATTTAATTCTAAGTTATTAAGACTGCTAAGTTGTAATGAGGATTAGCCTGAATCATTACAATACCAAACATGTTACAGATTTGATGTTGGTTTCCATCGCCGCTCAGGGTATACTGTCGGAATCCGTAAGATTTTTCTGGTATTTCCACAGTCGCCTATTACGACACCTACGAAATAGGATGATTGATTTACTTAAACCACTTCCATCCTAATCACCCTTAATATTATAAAAAAAACTACCGAAATATGATGTTGAGCTGTATTACCAATGCGAGGGTATCTCAGTAATAAAATACTGACTTATTTTCTACAGCGGCTCACTGTGACGTAGATGCGCGACCGGAAATTTTACTGTCGAGCAATATTTGTTTGACGTACTGGAATTCGGAAAATATAGTCACAGATTCCACGGGCTCTCTGAAACAAAGGTTTTTCCACTATAGCTAACTCTGAAGGATGGTGATGAGATTCACCGTTTATATATCAGTCTAATTCAATGTGTAATTAGATTTCCAAATTACTATTAAATCATGAATGCCAAAGAGTTATATGTCTCTAACCCCACTGTAAATTTAATTATGTATTTATGAAGTAAAACATAAGTAAATGACACAATGAAATACTTAAAATTAGTTTAATTAGATATATTATCTGAACTTATAGAAGGGGAAAATTTTATTCAGCGTATCATTATAATAGGTGATCTCTTGAAGACAATTCTGAATGTTATTTGGTACTAATCTATATCCATTTTAAACAAGGTATGATAAAATTACAAAACGTTTAATAACCATATCTTATAAGAAATTGTTACTAAATTTTATTGTTCAAAATATGATCTAATATTTTAATAATTAAAGGAACGTTTACTATGCGGACAAAGAGATTTACACGAAAACCTTCGCACCAGCAATAGCACAAAGGGGAAAAGCGCTACCATCTTACGACGAAATCAGATTTAACGCTTCTATGATCTTAGGATATTCTCACGTATCATTGGGTGAAGCCAATAGATTGCCGCAAAGTTATAAAACAGTTTCTGGTTTACATATTGACCAAAACTTGAAGCCATTGCCAAAGGTAAGCATTATGGTTATTAACATAAGTAAGGCTGGGGTTTCCGTAAACTTCAGGTATTTCAACATTAACTACAATATTCCTTTCTTATAACACGAATATTAATCAGCAAAGTAACCCCCAACCGGTTACTTGTGGCATTCCACAGGGATCAATATTGGGACCCTTGTTGTTCCTTATTTATGTAAACAACATATATGAAATTGGACTAAAGGGAGATATCATTTTATATGCTGACGACACTAGCCTCTTCTAATTTGGTCACTCATTAGAATCAGTACTAATTGAAGCTCAGCATGATCTAAACATATTGCACACCTGGTTACAGTCAAACTTACTAACAATCAATGCCTCAAAAACAAAATACATAATCTTCTCTGCAAAAAATAAAAAAATTAAGTTACAATCATCTTACTATTGATGGTGAAATAGTAACTAAATTAATAACGAGAAATATTTAGGTCTTGTTCTTGACAGTCAGCTTACCTGGAAGCAGCATGTTGAAAAGATCCATAATAATATTTACTCATTAACAGGAACTTTAAAAACAATAGTTCGATGTCTCTTGAGACATGTCAAATATAGGTACAATATATAACTTTTTGGTCAAGCCTCATTTAGATTATTTGATTGAGGTATGGGGCTCAGACACTAAATCAACCCTGCAAAAACTACAAGTAACAAAGCATAAAATCATAAAAAATATTATTACAATATAACTATTGCTAAGGGAGATTCTTAGCACCCCCTATTGCGTTAATAGGGGGTGCTAAGAATCTCCGGTAGAGGTTCGTTTGCCACCTTAGACGACTCGACCTGGCAACGTACAACGCACGCACCCTGAGGACTGACGAGAAGATCGTGGAGCTGGAAGAAGAGATAGACAAGTTGCGCTGGCATATTATAGGATTATCCGAAGTCCGAAGAGAGGGGGAGGACACGGTAATCCTCGAATCCGGCAACTTGCTCTATCACCGGGAGGGCGACCATCTGTCCCAAGGAGGTGTCGGATTTATCGTCCACAAGTCTCTCGTTAACAACGTTGTAAATATCGGGAGTGTGTCGAAGAGGGTTGCGTACCTTATACTCAGAATAACCAAACGGTATTCGCTGAAGGTCTTACAGGTTTACGCACCAACCTCGGCACACCCCGATGAGGAGGTGGAGGAAATGTATGAGGATATCTCTAGAGCCATGCATTCCTCCAAAACCCAATATACGGTGTTAATGGGAGACTTCAATGCAAAACTAGGCACAAGAGAGAACGGTGAGCTGAAAGTAGGGAAATTTGGAATAGGGCAACGGAACCCAAGGGGCCAGCAGCTGGCCGACTTCATGGAGAAAGAGGGACTCTTTATGATGAACTCTTTCTTCCAGAAGCGGCCCCACAGGAAGTGGACCAGGTCGAGCCCCGACGGTTCCACAAAAAATGAGATTGACTTCATTATGACGACCAGACGACAACTGTTCAGTGATGTCTCCGTGATCGCGAGGGTGAAAACTGGTAGCGATCACCGAATGGTTAGAGGCACACTGAACCTAAACGTTAAGTTGAAGAGGTCTCGTCTAATGAAGTCAATGTTCCGTCCCCCTCGTGCTCTGTTCCAAAGTCCCGAAACCTTTCAGCTCGAGTTACAAAACCGTTTTCAGTGCCTGGAAGACTGCAATGAAGTGGACGATATGAATGACAAGCTCGTGGAAACTGTCCATGCGGTCGGAGCTAAGTTCTGCAAGACCCGCCGCAGAAGAACACAAAAACTCTCCGATCACACTCTTAATCTCATGGCTGTTAGACGGGAGATGAAGCTACATTCTTCAACAGACTTGACAGCATACAGGCATCTGAACAGACAGATCTCGAAATGCATGCGGCGGGACTTACGCAACTTCAATACAGCTCGTATTGAAGAAGCGATCGAGCGGAACCAAGGCTCCAAAGTCTTTGCCAGAGATCTGTCTGCCAGAAAGAGCCAACTGTCAAAGCTGAAGACGGAATGTGGCAGCATCGTTTCCGGGACACCTGAGATTTTGAGTGAGATTGAGAGGTTCTATGGGCAGCTGTACACATCATCGTTGGAGCCACACGCAAGTGTGAGTAACGATCCAAGAGCGAGTCTCATCCGACACTATTCCGAAGATATCCCGGATGTCAGTCTGAGCGAGATTAGAATGGCTCTCCAGCACCTTAAAAACGGTAAGGCCCCAGGCGAGGATGGAATTACAGCGGAGCTTCTGAAAGCGGGTGGAAGACCTGTACTTGAAGTCCTTCAGAAGCTCTTTAATTCCGTCCTCCATGGTGGCATTACACCGGAGGCGTGGAGCAGAAGTGCGGTGGTCTTGTTCTTCAAGAAAGGTGACAACGCTCTCTTGAAGAACTACAGACCGATTTCCCTTCTGAGCCGCGTCTACGTGCTGTTTTCGAGAGTCATTACGAATCGTCTCGCGCGCAGACTTGACGACTTCCAGCCTCCCGAACAAGCCGGTTTCCGAAAGGGCTTTAGCACCATAGACCACATACATACCCTTCGGCAAATTGTACAGAAGTCCGAAGAGTACAATTTGCTACTATGTCTGGCGTATGTGGACTATGAGAAAGCCTTTGATTCCGTCGAAATTTGGGCGGTGCTGCAGTCCCTTCAGCGGTGCCAAGTTGACTGTCGGTATATCGAAGTGTTGAAGTGCTTGTACAGTAGGGCTACGATGGCTGTCCGAGTACAGAACCAGAGTACGAAACCTATCCAATTGCAGAGAGGTGTAAGACAGGGTGACGTCATATCCCCGAAACTCTTCACCGCTGCATTGGAAGACGTTTTCAAGCTTCTGGACTGGAAAGGATACGGTATCAACATCAATGGCGAGTACATCACTCACCTTCGATTTGCCGACGATATAGTCCTTATGGCAGAATCGCTGGAGAACCTAAGCACTATGCTCAATGACCTCAATAGTGTTTCCCAACGGATAGGTCTTAAGATAAACATGGACAAAACAAAGATCATGTTTAATGTCCATGTCACACCTATGCCGGTAGTTGTTGGGAGCACTAAGCTCGAAGTTATTGACGAGTATGTTTACCTGGGACAAATAGTCCGACTAGGTAAGTCCAACTTCGACCAAGAGGTCAATCGACGGATTCAACTCGGCTGGGCAGCGTTCGGGAAGCTACGACACATCTTCTCGTCAGACATACCTCAAAACCTTAAAACGAAATTGTACAACCAGTGCGTGTTGCCAGTGATGACTTACGGAACTGAGACGTGGTCCTTCACTGCTGGCCGTATGAGGAAGCTCAAGGTCGCTCAGCGAGCTATGGAGAGGGCTATGCTCGGAGTTTCTCTGCGTGATAAACTTAGGAATGAGGATATCCGCAGTAGAACCAGAGTAACCGACATAGCCCAACGGATTAGTAAGCTGAAGTGGCAGTGGGCCGGCCATATAGCTCGAAGAACCGACAACCGATGGGGAAGAGAGGTTCTCGAGTGGCAGCCTCGTACCGGTAGGCGAAGTGTAGGGCGTCCCCCCACGAGATGGAGTGACGACCTGGTAAGACATGCAGGAAGTCGATGGATGCAGGTGGCTCAGGACCGTGCTTTGTGGCATTCTTTGGGGGAGGCCTATGTTCAGCAGTGGACTTGTGAAGGGCTGTAATGATGATAAATGATGATGAACTATTTAACACCTTCCATTCAAATATATAAAGAAACAAAGTTATTTAACCTAGCCCAAATGCACAAATATAAAATATGCATTTTTATTAGAAAAATACTTACTGTTACGGCTTGCAGCTGCCTATCCAAGAGTAGGATCTTCCCGGCCCATGAAGGAAGATCTCACGAGCATATGCAGGTCGGGCCTCCTAAAGCCAAAGTGGAAAATCTCTAATTACAATAAACAATAAAGGGGAGCGTTCTATCCTACTGCCATTCAACAGGGAGAATATTAAAACCGAGCTTACTTACCTATATCCAAGGCGACTGGTCCCTCAGGGTTCGGTCAGGTCGCATGTGGTTGTATGGTGCATGGGAAGTAAGGGTCAGTGATGTGTATCTGTGTGTGACTGAGTGTGGTAGACCTTATGAGAACGTTGCCGTCGGCAGCAGCTCGGACTTCAGCACCGCTCTAAATTGTGGTAATCTTCCACGGAGTTGTCCACAGTCACTACTCAGTCTCTCAGCTTCATTGTACATTTAACTAACTTCCAGAAGCCACTAACTCTAATTTGTTGTAAGGCGTAACACCCAACACAAATGCAGAATGTCGGTCTATACGAAATCCCGTTACTATAAGCAAAAACGTATTTGGCTATACAAATAGCAAAAAAGAGAATACTTTTCGAAGAGAATTGTTTTTTATAGAGGAAACTAATTCTAAAGCGTTAGTAGATTTTAAAGAAATGACGTTAGACAAACGATTTTTTTCCTTACATCGAAAAATAAAGAGTTACAATTTTGTTTTGACACGAGATATGGACTTCATTTTACGATCATCATATTTATCATCAGTATTACATCCCTTCACAAGTCCTAATCATAAGCCTTCTCCTAGGAACACCATAAAACATAATTCTGAGGGACCTACATTCATCGAATTCCACCAAATCGTCACTCCATCTAGTAAAGGGCTGGCCTAGAGCTTCTAAATTCTTTCTTCCATTATATTTGTCAGTTTTTCGGGCAATAAAATTAAAGTCATTATAACGAGGCATTCCATCATAGTCCTCACGGGTGACAACGCATCTGCATTTTGATTCGTAATCGAAGATAGATGTAGATGTCTATGGGCCACAGCAACCACTTACCATCAGGTGGACTGTGTGCTCGTTTGTCACCCTTATCCTATAAAAAAAAAGTTACTGTCTATATATGCCCTACACCTGGGCACAGGCCTTCTCTCATTAGTGAGAGGGATTTTAGGGCAAGGAAATGTCCGCTGCGCTGCCCCAATGCGTGTTGGCGAACTTAACATGCTTCGAAATAATTTTTTTCTTATTTCTCAGTCATGCAGGTTTCATCTCGATGTTTTCCTTCACCGTTGAGAACGTGGTAAATCAGCACTGAGAATTGCAACTAACAATTTAATTGGTGCTGGCGGGGATCGAACCCGGTTTGCTCGCGTACTGTGAAATTTACAGCGAGCGTTTAGCCCCTAAGCTACCACGGCTCTTTCAAGCAATAAAGCTGGCCTATTTACTCTTGTGATTGCTGATTCGTTGGGGCATCAGCGCGTTGCTAATTATTCTTAGTTGCGCCCGATTACGATCAGGTTTTAAAATTTGTACATCATCGATTTAAAGATATAAATTATACATCAAAAATATACAGATTAAAAAGAACAGTAATTATGATTGAATAAAACTACTTTTATGGATTCTATCGCGTTTTCATGACTAATTTTTATTAAATTTCCGACGTTTCGGGTGCTTTACAGTACTCGTGGTCACGGGGGATAGAGGTGATGGACGTCGGCTGAACCGATTTTGACGGCACTTTCACTGGCAGATAGCTAATGTTATAAGGAGTAACTTCGGATACTATTATTTTAGAAAAGGCATTAGGGTTCCGCGCAAAAAAAAATTAAAACCCATAAAATCCAATCGCAATAAATTCCACGCGGACGAAGTTGCGGGTAACAGCTAATAGATAATAAAATGTAAAATACCGAAATGACAAGCTGCTTCAAAGTCGGGAGACGCCTGTCACTGTGAGAGTCCATACCCCTGTCAAGCGTGACAATTAAGGCAAATTCTCACAATAAGGAAGGAGGCCGGCAATCGTTTGATGTCAGTAAAAACCTTAAAGCATCTGAAAAATAGCTCGTACTTAATTATCATTATCACCAACTCATAAGTCTACAGCTGAATGTTAGCCTTTATAGGGTTATTTTCCAAAAGGAGTGGCTTCATATTTTGGATACGTTGAGTCAACACTTAGTGTAACGCTATGTTGTGTAGTGTAACGTTTAGGAGAAACTCAGTGGATCAGGAAAAAGTGTTCAAAGCGCAAGAGCAATCAAAAATATACACTGGACAGATAGCTGTAAACCACATTTTAAAGAGCTGCAAATTGTAACTTATCTCCTGTCTTTTTATCTATGAGACGGCTGTGTTTGTATATTGAAACCTATCATTGTTTAAAAATCTAAATAATACAAGGTATCCCGTGAGATTAAAAGTTTAACAATCAAAGTCGGTAAAAATGTGGAAAAGTATATTTTTCCTATCCATACCTTTCTGCGATAAGGTATCTAAGGATATAAAGAAAATATATAATATGTATATAAAGGTTCATAAATATTACTATTATATTAACGAATATCTTAATGATATAGACATTTTGTATTTTGTATATATATTTAATTTAAAAAATATATATGCATATTTTCTATAGGATAGGGTGACAAACGAGCACACAGTCCACCTGATGAGGAGTGGTTGCTGTGACCCATAGACATCTACATTTATCCTCAATAAAGAATCAAAATACAGATGCGTCATCACCCGTGAGTACTATGATAGAATGCCTCTTTTCCAGTAAAATGGGTCTCCGATTCTCTACACTCACCATACGAAACACATCAGTGTGAAGCTGCCATTTTACACTGGTATTCTGAGAGAGTGTGGTCCTTTCCCGGTCGAGCCTAACCATTCGTGCTACAAGTATACTACTAATATGGCATAGTATGCAGCATGGCTCTACCATGTATGATTTGTATGTATATATATATATATATATATATATATATATATATATATATATATATATATGTCTTTTCTTTTTTTTACGTGACATTAGCCTAAGATGTTATGTTGATTATTGTTGATTCGTGTATTTAATAATATAGTAGGAATAATAAATTAATAGATAACTTTTAAAATAGATAAAAGTTATCTAGTTTACATTTATTGGCTAGAATGAAAATATATATACACAACACTATGGTAAAATACACGATACCTACTGTAAAATTAACTAAAAATATAGGTACACTACCAATATATAGTCTATATATAGTATACCTATATATAGAGTCGCCAAGTTACTAATCTCTACATATTGACAGGAATTAAAAAATATTATGGACAAATCCAAAAGTGGCGTTATTTACTTTAGTATGGGCTCAAATGTGAGGAGTCAAGATATGCCTGATCAAATGAAGAAAAAGTTCATTAAAATATTTAGCCAGCTTGAGCAAACCGTCTTGTGGAAATCAGAAGAAGAATTCCCTGATTTACCAAAAAATGTTCATATACTCAAATGGGCACCACAGCAAAGTATTCTTGGTACGTTTATCCTAATTTAAATTTCTAATTATTTAATTTATTTCTCAGCCTGTGAAACACCACTTCTGAACATCTGCGGTTGTTGAAGAATTTGGAATAATCGTCACGCTTAGTAGGCGAGTTGACGACGGTATTATCACACATATCATCACTTCATGTCAGCGGTCTGGATATTTTACGCCAGGCGTTAAGACACCTATCGAAAGCCATGAGATCTTTGTAACATTTCCGATAGTCTTATTTTACTTCACCCTAGAGACAAAATCACAGCCATCACAGGCAAATTTATTATAATGTCTATTATCCTCTCTAAAAGGTGGTAGTAACTCGGGGATAAGCCTGCAACTTAAAATTTAAGTTCGATCCCCATCAGCCCCAATGCAATATTTAATTGCAATAAAAGTGTTTAGTATCACATGATTGGCGTTTTAGAAAACATCGTGAGAAATCTACATGTCTAAGAAATAAAAAATATTTTGAAAACATGTGAAGTCGACAAGACACATAAAGGGTAGTGTAATTTACTTATTCCTGATACAAGATTTTTTCGGTAATAACATAATATACCAATAATTACTAATACTTATTCGGTAATAGCATATATTTCGCATAACAGTGCTTAACTGTCTGTCTGTGCTAAAAGCATAAATATTGTAATCTTAAATTACCTCACCTTATCTTTCTCCCATTTTTAATTCATTCATAAATTATTTTCAATAATAATATCTTTTTTAATTAGCTCACCCAAACTGCATCATGTTTATAACTCATGGCGGTCTCTTGTCAATAACTGAAGCCGTACATTTTGGAGTTCCTATTATTGGAATACCAGTGTTCGCAGATCAGTTTGCTAATGTAAAAAGAGCAGTTAAGAAAGGATTTGCCAAACAAGTGGACTTGTCAAAATCTATGGCAGAAGACATAGATGATGCTATTCAGGAATTGCTACGTAATTTGAGGTGGGTACAAAGGTCAAGGTAACAAATTTTATAAATTTCTCGTGAATATCACCACAAGATACTTTTTACAGATGTAAATGTTGTAAAAATAGCTACAGTCTCTCTTTTTTATAGGATAGGGTAACAAACGAGCATACAGTCCATCTGATGGTAAGTGGTTGCTGTGGGCCATAGACATCTACATCTATCCTCGTTTGCGAATCAAAATGCAGATGCGTTGTCACGCGTGAGGAATAAGATGGATTGCCTCTTTTCCAGTAAAAAGGGTCTCCGGTTTTCTACACTAACCATACGAAACACAGCAGTGTTAAGCTGCTATTTAATGCTGATATTCTGTGAGAGCGTGGTCCTTCCCCGGTCGAGCCGACCCATTCGTGCTACAACTATACTACTAATATAGCTGCAGCATGGCTCTACCACGTTCAAACTGTAGAAAGTATTAGCCATTTGAATCGCAGTACCTGTTTCTCATATTTGACGCTGCTGCTTGTTGATAGTCTAAGTAATTTAAATGTATCGTATACGAGATGGTACAGTGCCATCCATCACTGATCCTGTGGTCTTTCTGTCCTTTCCAATAGTTGTTTCTTACGCTACACACGGGATGAAATGGGTTGACTATTCTCGTACTCCACCTTACGTATTATGATTACTACAGTTGACGAGTTTTTTTTTTTACATGAATATGACATTACGGCTCATTTTATTTAAATGTTACTCATAACAAAGTTCGTTAGTGAAGATTTATTAAGCCCTGTATTTTTACCAATTTTAGCTATTCATTGCCTTATTGGCTAATTTGTGAGAGAAGTTAATAATAATTACTGATTACAATTAACCCTGCGAGAAGGCCCAAAATGATGGATTAAATTAATTACCCCGGCCTAGATGAGGCAACCTATGGTTTTACGTAGATTATGGACTGTATATCTTATTTCACGATATGTCCTTCAATTTGGACTACATGAATAGCGTGAAGGAAGGCATGTGCACCCACTTGGACCTCCGCTGAGCTGTTCCGTGTCTCCTTGAGCTGCGATGCACGTTGGTTGGATGATGGCTGTCTTCCCAAATAAGTTTCACTGATTTTCACAAAATATTGCGGTATCACAAATATCTACACTATTGCTGTTTTCTTGTACAGTTCAATATCTAAATTACACCACGGCGTGAGGTGATGAAGCGAAATATAGCCGAGCGATCCGTTGCGTAACTTGCGGGCTTGTGTGGTCCGTATTAACACACGAGTGCAAATGCTGGGCAATAGCAATATTACTATATAAGAATTAACAAATTTCCTAAGCGTTAAGCGGTAGTTGCAAGTGGCAAAAACAATTACTATTATTAAAAAAGCTATCCTGTTTTAATTTGATATTTCAAATCTGACATTATTTGTTTCAGTTATCGCAACAAAGCGAAAGAGCTCTCGTTCATCTATCATCATCGTCCCATATCACCGGGCGCAGAATTTGTTCATTGGGTGGAACATGTAGTGCGTACAAAAGGTGCTGCACATTTACGTTCGCCTGCGTTTACTGTAACTTGGTACCAAAAGATGTACTTGGATCTGATAGCTTTATTAGCAATAACATTAGTTCTGATCCTAACATGCATAAAATTAACTTTATGTGCGAGAAGCAATAAGTCTCATAAAAAGAAAATGAACTAATGTAATTTATTTTTTGCTTTCAGTTTTTTGTGACTTATTTATAAAATCATTAACATCTCCCTCGTGGTATTTGTTTTTAAATAAATAATATAAATAAATAAATAAATAAATATTTATTTCATTACCAATTACACATATTTACATACAGGAACAAATATGATTACAGTTAAATAAAGTAACAATAAGTCCAACAAATATAACATGCTATGATAAAATGTGTAGCTTAATAATGAAGAATTTACAAAAGAAAAATAGAAAAGTCAAGTTTATATTATTAGCTACCTGCCTGAACTAGGTTGAGTACCTGTGTTTCAGACATCACTTACACTTAGGTTTTATGATGTAGGACACTAGATATTTTAATAATTAAACTATATTATATAATAAATAAAATTACTAAATAACAATTAATTGTTACCTACAATTAATACAAACTATTTTATAATTATTGGCCGTGTAGTGGCGGTTAAGAATATCCACTACCCCATATCCTCCCGTGGGTGTCGTAAAAGGCGACAAAGGGAAACAGGCAGGAGATGGGCAGCAGCATCTTCCTGATAACAGCCAAAATAACAATAAAAAACTGCGGTTGCCAACCCGCAGGCCAAGCGTGGCAACTATGGCAATATACCCCCCATGAGCAATGACAATAATAAACGGCCCCCAGTCCCGGCGGCCCCGCTATTCCTGGCTACGGTGGCGACCATGGTAACGGCGGGGCAGGGGGTGCTAAGAATCTCCGGTGGAGGTTCGGTTGCCACCTACGACGACTCGACCTGGCAACATACAACGCACGCACCCTGAGGACTGACGAGAAGATTGTAGAGCTGGAAGAAGAGATAGACAAGTTACGCTGGCATATTATAGGATTATCCGAAGTCCGAAGAGAGGGGGAGGACACGGTAATCCTCGAATCCGGCAACTTGCTCTATTACCGGGAGGGCGACCATCTGTCCCAAGGAGGTGTCGGATTTATCGTCCACAAGTCTCTCGTTAACAACGTTGTAAAGATTGAGAGTGTGTCGACGAGGGTTGCGTACCTTATACTCAGAATCACCGAACGGTATTCGCTGAAGGTCATACAGGTTTACGCACCAACCTCGGCACACCCCGATCAGGAGGTGGAGGAAATGTATGAGGATATCTCTAGAGCCATGCATTCCTCCAAAACCCAATATACGGTGTTAATGGGAGACTTCAATGCAAAACTAGGCACAAGAGAGAACGGTGAGCTGAAAGTTGGGAAATTTGGAATAGGGCAACGGAACCCAAGGGGCCAGCAGTTGGCTGACTTCATGGAGAAAGAGGGACTCTTTATGATGAACTCTTTCTTCCAGAAGCGGCCCCACAGGAAGTGGACCTGGTCGAGCCCCGACGGTTCGACAAAAAATGAGATTGACTTCATTATGACGACCAGACGACAACTGTTCAGTGATGTCTCAGTGATCGCGAGGGTGAAAACCGGCAGCGATCACCGAATGGTTAGAGGCACACTGAACCTAAACGTTAAGTTGGAGAGGTCTCGTCTAATGAAGTCAACGCTCCGTCCCCCTCGTGCTCTAATCCAAAGTCCCAAAACCTTTCAGCTCGAGTTACAAAACCGTTTTCAGTGCCTAGAAGACTGCAATGAAGTGGACGATTTGAATGACTGTACTGCAATGAAGTGGACGATTTGTTTCCAGTAAAAAGGGTCTACTAAATACAAAATCAAAGAATAAGCAAAATAAAAGAGAAAGATATATTATTTATTAGCGAACCGCCCTGGCTTCGCCTGTGTGATTTAATTAAAAAAAAGATCTTCAAGTTTTTCGGATGAAATATATCCCTCCTGGCATTGTTCTTTATCTGTTCCTAAAGTTTTATCATTTCATTTCATAAATTCTGCGCGTGTCGTGGTCTCGCTATCGCAGCGAGCGCGGTTATAATTATTTCTTCTCCATACTAATTTGAACACACTTTGACCCCTCCGTAATGGGTGGTTTTGAAAAACCGCAAAATCCTTATTGATATATTTTATTTAAGTCGTAGAGTGAGTGAGTCAGTGGTAATTCGATTATATATATATAAGATTATCCTTTTATTATCAGAACATTTATCTTATCCAATAATATTTGCAATGTAAGCATTACTTGCATTTCTGCCGCGTATAAATGGATTGGCGTGTCCGAATGTTAAGATAACGTATTTATATTTAGTTAGTTTTTTGTGAATTGTACGATAATTAACACGCGTCACGCGTATTTTTTTATGTGTCTGTGATATTGAAACTGAAATTTATTTGTAAGTTGCTATGCAGTGATTTCGCGTATCGACAAATTACTTTTAGTATAGAAGTTAACGTTTATTTTTTCTGTATCCGAATATCTTATACAAACTTACTGTACAGGTTTTATATCATATACGAGAATATTTACTGAGGTGAGAGATTTGAGACGTGATTACACAAATTCTAAACATCTTACATATTATAACCTGTATGATGAAACCTAATTCCATTTATGTGCGTCAACGACGCTATTTATGTGTCCGTACAATTTTAGTCGATGACGATACAAAAACATTATGACCATATACTCAAGCGCTGCTCAAATTTTAAGATGCCGTTAAGTCTCGTGCTGTCTCTATCGCTTTAAGTCAAAGTGACTGTGACATCACTACACTTAAAGACGTCTTAAAATTGAGTAGCGATTGAGTATTCGGCCATTAGAGTCAAAAACTTGCGCTACAGATTTTTTATGTCATTCTAATGTCAAAATTAAATGGAAAAGTTATCTGATAAAATAAATACTATGTTATTCCAAATGACACCTATATTTTCTAAGCACAGTATATTGACGCTGTTGATCTTCGCTTATTGAGAGTTATTAAATAAAATTATATTCCTGTGACTATATTACGAAATTTTTATGTGGAGGAGCCACGCTGCAGCTACGAAATCGTATTATATTAAGAATGCAGTACAAATGGGTCCACTCAACCGGTGTAGGCTCTTACAAAACACCAACGTGAATCTGCAGAATAATTTTGTGTTTCGTATGTAATATAAAAAAATGTAATATTCGATGTGTGTAAAAAGGCCTGTTAAACCATCTGCATTTTTATACTTAATCGAGGACCAATGTAGATGCCTATGGGCCGCAGCATATACTTAATCAGGTATACTGTGTGCTCACTTGTCTTTTATATTTTTAAAATAAAAATAAATTGTCATTAATTGATTTTTGGCATAGAGTAAGTCGTACAATTTATTGTATGTATCTCGACGCCACCCTATCTTAAGAAACATAATATACACGCTGATATTAAAAAGGGCCTTGGTTTTAACTGCTGCCGACAAACTGTAATGCAGTTAGGCTGAGAGAACTACTGCCGAAAAACTGTAACGAAGTTTGGCAGATGAAAATGTTAAAAACGTTTAATGTATGACTAAAAGAAAAAAAATTAATACAGTATCACTTTAAATTTTCTAAATGTACTCAAACTTCAAATGAAGACAAAGGCCTTACTTTACGAATATTCATCACTTATCGTCATCGTTTACAAATTCAAATTCAAATTCAAATTCTTTATTTGCTAGTAAATAGGTACAAAAATATTTTGTTCTTGGTGTTATAAACAATGTGTTGAGAAAACCTATTTAGCTGTTTGCAAATGTCCAAAAGCTTTTACAATATAATTTGTTTCTAAACTTAATCTAAAACACATAACTAAAAACATCCTTTTACAAATTTTATAAATAAATAAATTCATCATCATTCATCATCATCATTTCAGCCCTTCACAAGTCCACTGCTGAACATAGGCCTCCCCCAAAGAATGCCACAAAGCACGGTCCTGAGCCTCCTGCATCCATCGACTTCCTGCATGTCTTACCAGGTCGTCACTCCATCTCGTGGGGGGACGCCCTACACTTCGCCTACCGGTACGAGGCTGCCACTCGAGAACCTTTCTTCCCCATCGGTTGTCGGTTCTTCGAGCTATATGGCCGGCCCACTGCCACTTCAGCTTACTAATCCGTTGGGCTTTGTCGGTTACTCTGGTTCTACTGCGGATATCCTCATTCCTAAGTTTATCACGCAGAGAAACCCCGAGCATAGCCCTCTCCATAGCTCGCTGAGCGACCTTGAGCTTCCTCATACGGCCAGCAGTGAAGGACCACGTCTCAGTTCCATAAGTCATCACTGGCAACACGCACTGGTTGTACAATTTCGTTTTCAGGTTTTGAGGTATGTCTGACGAGAAGATGTGTCGTAGCTTCCCGAACGCTGCCCAGCCGAGTTGAATCCGTCGATTGACCTCTCGGTCGAAGTTGGACTTACCTAGTCGGACTATTTGTCCCAGGTAAACATACTCGTCAACAACTTCGAGCTTAGTACTCCCAACAACTACCGGCATAGGTGTGACATGGACATTGAACATGATCTTTGTTTTGTCCATGTTCATCTTAAGACCTATCCGATGGGAAACACTATCGAGGTCATTGAGCATAGTGCTTAGGTCCTCCAGCGATTCTGCCATAAGGACTATATCGTCGGCAAATCGAAGGTGAGTGATGTACTCGCCATTGATGTTGATACCGTATCCTTTCCAGTCCAGAAGCTTGAAAACGTCTTCCAATGCAGCGGTGAAGAGTTTCGGGGATATGACGTCACCCTGTCTTACACCTCTCTGCAATTGGATAGGTTTCGTGCTCTGGTTCTGTACTCGGATAGCCATCGTAGCCCTACTGTACAAGCACTTCAACACTTCGATATACCGACAGTCAACTTGGCACCGCTGAAGGGACTGCAGCACCGCCCAAATTTCGACGGAATCAAAGGCTTTCTCATAGTCCACATACGCCAGACATAGTGGCAAATTGTACTCTTCGGACTTCTGTACAATTTGCCGAAGGGTATGTATGTGGTCTATGGTGCTAGCACCAATAAATAAATTAATATAAATAAATTAATTCATGCATCGACAACAGGTACTTAATCACTATAATTTAAAAACTCATT